CAGTTACCTAATTTTTCTGTTCTGCTTCGTTTCTGTTTTGTGTGTTTCATTTTATGAAAAGCATGCAAATGAAGACTGGCTTGAATTACAGTCTCAAATGGAGTAAAGGAAACAACTTTACTCCATCTGAGATCTTAATAATGAGTGTATGGTGATGATGACGCATGTTGCGATTGGAAATGGCCTTCAAATGCCTATTTTAAAGAAACAGACTATAGTATTGTTAATAGGTAGGATGTAAAAAAGCATAGACTTTAACATACCTCATAAAAAAGTCACATGACATTAGATTAGGAGTCTTGAATAGTATGTGCTGCAAAAGGTGTAGATCAAATCTTGTTACCTCTTATGTATGTATCATGATGGATGGGGTACACATAGAACATTTATATTGCATGACAGAAACTGAGTTTCTAGTACTTTGTATGTATAAATAATAATTGTGTATATAACCCTTTTAAAAAAACAGTGTTTTGAAATCAAGTTAATCATACATCACCTTGTATGTAGAAAAAATAATAATAAATTATTCTCAGGATTAGCAAACACACTTTGTGCATGCATGCTTTGAATAATAAAAGTTCTTATTTGAGACAATATTTAGCAACTTAGTGTTTAGCAAAAACAATTTTCTATCTGTGTTATGAATGTGAAAGTATGGAAGTTAGAAATCTTTTTCTTACTGATATTGAAGCTCTTTTTTATACACAAATATACTTGAGATCTTTATTAATAGTTTTATATAGGGTTTTTCTAGTTTATATCAGAATTTTAGACTACTGTGAAAAATTGGATAAACCATTGTTTTGCTATACATTAAAAAATATGAAAAAAGTATGTCTAAGCTGAATTATAAACACTTATTATATCTATTCATAATTTCTTCTTGCTGCTATTAAATATGAGTATTTATGTAGTTTTAACAATATCTCATTAGTATGCATCACAGAATGGAATAATTTTTAATTACTAAGATATATGTGTGTAAATGAATGTAATGAAAACATTTAGTGAATTAATAATGAGTGTATGTAATTTATTTTACTGAATGCCCTGCTCCTAATTGCATTTTTCTTTGTTTACTTAATTTTTTAAATATTTTTGTTCTATTAATCTTATTTAAAGTAATAAAAATTTATAATCTAATAAACGGTTTATATATTTAATTTGCTTTAAAAATTTAAAATTTATCTGTTCTTCAGTAATAACATTATTTTGTTTTATGTAGATTATTTTATTTATTTGTATTTATTTCTAAATTTTATGGATTTATTTGTAAAATGTATTTAAATTGTGTTATATAGTTTTATAATGGAAAAAGTTTACATGTTATTCATTTGTACTGTTTTATGAATTAATTTTTATTTTACAGTTCATTTACGTTTATTATGTTTTTTGTTATTTATTTTATATGTATATTTGAAAGTGTACTCTGATAATATTAATAATGCCTTGTTTGACTAATACACACACACATATATATATAATAAATATTTTTTCTCTACTTATAGAAACTATTTTGATAATCATATTTGTACTTTTGAAGCATATGTTATTGGTATTTTTAGGAGTATCTCTTTAAATATTGTTTAAATTTTTTCACAGTTATATTTAAAGTGAATTGAGAAAGAGGGAATTGGATATCTTAAAAAAATAAATATGTAAATAAATAAAAGAATTGCTGAAATGTATTTTTTTAATCAGTAAATGAATGTTCGGTTAATGTTTCGCAAGAAATTTGAGTTAATTCTTGCTTTAGTTTTATCTGGAATTGCACTTTCATTTGGAAACTTGGAATTTTTGTAAACATGTTTTAAATATAAATCATTAGTTGACATGGCAATCTAAGCATTAAATAATAAAAGCATGAAAAAGAATTGTGTTGCAATTATTTTCATAATTTCATTTGCTTTTACAAAATTATTTTGAAATTCTATGAACTGATTACATGTAAAAAATGCTGTGACTTAACAATAGCTTTTAATAGGAAGTACAGTCAAATACCAAAAATCTGCCAATTTCTGAAATTTGTGTTGCCTCACAAAATATAAACATTCAGTTTATAGGTTCCGGAAACCGCAACATTGAGTACGAAATATCGAAGAAAAAATACTTATCGAATAATGACGTCATAATTACAGAATAATAATGAGTTATAATGGAAATACCAAATTATTGACATCATGATAAAAGTTTTTTCTCCTCTAATCTGCATCAAGGTAGGAAAGCAGACGATTCACTCAACTCTTCTTTCAAGTTCACGATTCACGTTGTTGTATTTTCTGAGCTTTGTTATTTCATGAGATTATTTAGTTAGTGCTGCCCTTTTTTATGCGGATATTTTGTGGATAAATTAAGAATATTTTAAATTTCAGCTATTTTTAATGCAATTACAGATAAGAAACACACTCGTGATTTTACTGCTTGCAACGTTGAAAAACGTAAACGTATTGCATTGAAGGTAATGCAAAAAGTGCAAATTCTGCAAAAGATGGAGATAGGTGCATTTTTCGTTGTATGAAATTGTGATACGATTGTGTATGATATACGAAAAAATAAAGAAAAGTTGTTGAAATTTTATAGCAACAGTGATTCTAACACCAGAATCCAAAACTGGAAATCTTTGCATAAGGCGAAATCGGCAAACCTCGATGTTGTGTATATATAATACAATGAATAATATAATCAATTTATATATGTAATCATAATTTAATGCATATAAGTTATAGCAATAATGTATATAATAATTTAATTAAATGTATCTCATACACCTTATTTATTTTGAACTTTTAGTCTGAATATTATGATATATCTTTTCTGTCCTGAAATCCTTAAAATCCTAAAATCCGCACAACCTCTGGTCCCAAGCTTTGCTGATTTCTGGACTTCTACTGTAGTTAATTTTTATTATTTTTTTAAGATTAAACAACACATGATTTGAAATAAAATTATTTTGTATATTTATGAAACTATTAGCAAACATAAATATAAATATGAAGCCATAAAATAATGATGTAAATGTGAATCAATAACTTCGAGAAGATGGTCTACCGAGGCATCTTTTGCTGATGGCTTGAGAATCCTGTGTTATAACCAGTTCAGTTGTAGCAAAACTACTCACAATCTCTCTTGGTATTCATGTCGTCTCCCTCTTTATATTTAAACAATTTATCTGTAATATTTACACCTTAAGTTGGTGACTATTTTGGCAATAAAATTTGCCAGCTTAACAAAAAAAAAAAAAAAAAAAAACAGATTAATCGAATGTTTGCATGTGCAGCTTTGCATTTTGTCCAACGTTGCATTCCCTTATTTCTGATTAAAAAATCAATGCATCTTTATTTGTTGATTTTGTAAATTTTTTTAAACAAAGCCATGTGCTTCTGGAATAAGTGCCCCCTCCTCCATGTACAGCATAACCTTTTTTTTTTTTTTAACCCTTGTGTAAGAAACGTTTCCTGTAAGTCATGGAAAGTCTAGTTAAAATATACAAATATTATTTTTTAATAGATAAAGATGAAAAATAAAAATGTCCAGTATTTGTTTTTTGTAGTCTTTAAAGAAAAGTAGGTTTTTAATTGTAAAAGAGTATGCAGGATTAGTATAGTTTTGCAGAATGCAGTTCAGGAATAGGAAAACACTTCAGTCTAAGTTTTGATTGCTTAGACTGACATTCTTTTTAATTATAGACCAGAATGTGAACATTGTGTTTCAACACAATTATTGATATCATCAATTGATGGGTAAATATGATAATGAGATAGTAATATATGATATCATGCTTTCAATTGTACCCCAGAGTCTCATATATCTCTACTCATAGCATAAAGACTTGATTTGAATGTATCTTTGTCAGTTCTTCTGTCTTTGTAGCTTGTAAGATCATTATCTTCCCACTCTTGGAATGTAAAACTACACTCCGTATTATTATAATTTAATTAGATTGTGTATTTATCAAGTTATTTTGCTTCTTTAGCAATATTTAAAATTTTATGTGTCTTCATTTTTCCTTCTTCACTCTTTAAACACTAGAAGTAATATCTTATATTTACTATTGATAAATTCTATGCTTTATGCCATTTCAGTTTACAAAAAAATTTATAAGAATGCTGTATTTTTGTGAAGTGTGGGAAAATTGTGTTAACAGTGCTAACAGAAAAGATGAAGATAAATATATATAGACATGTAGATCACAGATTTTCTGGAAAATATTCCTTATTATGGTATTCAAAAAATTGCCCTGTGGAGACAAACCTTTGTTACTTCACAGTGCTACCAACTTAACACATCAAACCTCATTATGGTATTTTTTAGGATTTTTCTAGTGCAATTTATGTTCATTTATATATGAAAAATTATTTTTAAGACCAGTGTCATATTTGGCCTAGCATTTATTGCTGTGCCATTTTATTAATATTTTAGTATTGTTGCTAAAGATCAGTAAGCCTAGTTTAGTGTCAATTTACAAGTTAACTTTGTAGCTGTAAATGCATGAAGATGTATACTCAGTTTTTTTGATTAATACGTTAACACTAAATTTAATTCTTAGTGTTGCTAATTTAAGATCTGGGAAGCTGGTTAGGGTCAATTTACCAGCAAGCTTCATGGTAGAAAATGCATGGTGGGAATACAGTTGGATCCTAATTGATAGATCAATACTAAATTTATGAGATAAATCATTATATTTGCACTAGAAATGCTTTTTTTTTTTTTTTTTTTTTTTTTTTTTTTTCAGTTACAAATTCTCTGTCTATTTGTTTTTAAAGTTATGAAATGATTCCGATTATAATTATTTTTATTAGGATTTTCATTATAGTAGCTGTAAGTAGAGAAAACACTGCATTTCCTATGTGACTTTTTTTTTTTAAAATGAGAGATTATTAGAGTATATTTTGTTTAATGAAGTTCTGTTGTAATGTTTATCATGTATATATGTATAGTAGTATATTGCTTTTACTATATTTTGATGATGTGTGAAATGGGTTGGATTTCAATTGAAGGGTTGGAGATTCTTCCCAATGGTATTTCTCTACCTACCGACTACCAGGGGAGGAGCACAGGGGAGGCTTACGTGCAGTTTTCATCAAGGGAAATAGCTGAAAAGGCGATGGGGAAACACAAGGAAAAAATTGGGCACAGGTGGGCACCACGGGCTACCCTTTGCGGTCTGACTCCGTTCTCTGGGCCTGTTATTTCTTATTCCATAATTTTCTTTGTGTATATGAGTTGATAAACCTGTTATCTGTTCAGCTTTTATCACACTTTTTTAATGTAACTGTCTTTTTTAATCAGTGCATGAACTTTATGATTTTGGAGGAGAAGGATTTTTTTTTATTACAGGTTTGTATAATTTATTGATCTGATTGAAAATGTTAGTAGAAATGTTAAACTTCACATCCATTCATAATTTATTTGATATAAAAGTATATTTTGAGATATATGAAGTATTTAAACTTCAGAAAACACTTTTTCTCATAAAAGTACTTTTATTTCTGTACTTGTGTTAACAAATACATATTTCAACATTTGCTTGTGAACTGTTTATATATTTTACGAGAAAAACTTAAGTATGATTTCTGAGGGGACCTTTTAGATTCTGATTAGTATATAAACTTCAGAATCGGCATAAAATGCCATCTGGCCATTATTTTATTCTTTTCTGAAAGCAGACAGTAAAAAATATGATAAAATTCTAACTCAAAATAAATGGCAAGATGATTATGGCCATTTTGAATTGGATGAACATCACAGCTTCTGTGTTACAGAAATCAGACATTGTTAGTTACAAATTTAAGTTAAATGCACTAAGAAATGTTGACGAGGAGAAATTTAACAAAAAAATTTTCTCATATGTTAAAAATAGATTTTGTTAATGACACTCATAGGCCAAAAGATTACATTTGATGCTATTTTAATTAAGAATAACTGATTAGTTATTCACATAAACCTAGAACCTGCACCAGAACTCGTATGGCTGCACCAGGCGGCAGAATGTAAGGAAGACAAAATTTTCGGAATTTAGAGAAGCACCAAGCAGCAAAATTAAGGAATGAATTTGGAATCTAGGAAAAGCACTGGAACACAAAATTTAGGGGTGGCAAAAATTTAGAGCTTAGGAAAGAGCTTGGTAGTGGAATTTAGGACCTGTAGAGACTGCATCAGGCGGTAAGCACCAGCCCTCAATAAACCTTAAATATATGTGGGAATTTATTTATTAAGGATTCAGATAAGCCTTAAACATGTGCAAGAAATGAACGTAAGTATAATAAATAACTAATACAATTCAGACTTAATTGCCAGTGTGCGATAGAAGCAAGACAAAATTTAGAATAACTTGTCTTTTGTTGCCAATCTCATGAAACATAGCCAATGCATACTATTAAGCTTGGCTAAAATCATACTTTATTGATTCCAAGGAATTTCAATTAATGTAGCAGATTGCACTATTCTTTAAATTTTTGATTTGATCCAGCTTAATATTTTTTACAGGCTATTATTATTAGAGCAATTTTATGAAAATTAAAGTTTTAAGTTTGAACCTTTCAATCATGCCGAAAAGAGTTTCTAATTCTGGAGCTGCAACAGAATCTATAAAGCAAAAGCATGTTTCGATGTCCATTAAATAAAAAGGGGAACTGCTGGAAAAAAATGAATAAAGATTATATCCATCTCAAAATTGTGTGAGGAGTATGACATTGGAAAGTCAACTGTATATGACATAAGAAAACAGAAAAGTGTCGAAGTGAGAGCATGCCATTGATGGGTCCAATGCTAATGGCTCAAGCCAAAATATTACATGAAGAAATGGATTTAAAAAATGATGCACGTATTTGATAGGTTGGTTAACTAAGTTTAAAAATCGCCATGGTACAAGGCAATAAAAAATTTCAGACTGAAGTATTTGCAGATGAATTCATTGAACTCATTAACAATAAAAACTTACCTTATATGCCACCCAACTGGTATAGTGGTTAGCGTCGCTGACTGCCATGCTTCCAAAATGAGACTAAGAATTTTAGCATGTGCAAATGCTGCAGGACTGCACAAGTGTAAACATTTCATAATCAGAAAAGATAGAAGACCTTGAAGGGCTCGGGTTTGACTCCCGGAGAAGGCGTGGATGTTTCTAAATGTATGGTGTCAGTGCGGCATAGCGGCACTCTAAATGCGTGGCTACCAAAATCTTTCTTGTGGGGTTTGGTGGAAGGAGAGGGGATGAGAGACCCTCAATCCCTCATATTGTTGTTCTTCAAAATTGGGGGAGCTAAATCGCACTGTCACCTGTAAGGTGGTCAAGGTTGTTGCCAACGATGGCATAATCTTGCAGTCTTTGCCACAAGGAATTTTGTGGGCTTGGGCTGACTATATGCCAGACAAGTAAGCATAGGTAACACAACAACATAAAATCTGCTGTGTGGAGCATCGCAAGATCATGGTAGAATGTGTCTCCAGGTACTCTAAAAAATTCGTGGCATAATTATGGCCAGCTGCCATATTTCATGGCAAGGATGACAAAGATAATAGCTGTGAATTTGAAGGTTTTCAGATATCGCAGACCAAAGGTGAAATTTTTTAATTAGTTGATTTTGTAAAGAACTGTGGAGAAGCTGTAGTAAATGAAGATGATATAACAGAAGTTTTTCATTGTGATGACAATACCCCAATCATGAATCAATCAAGGGACAGTGAAATCTGTAGTATGGTTCTAGATATAGAAAATACCGCTTCTGATAGTGAAGAAAGTGACAAAGAGATTATTGAAAACGAAAAAGTTGTGATTTCCAAGATAGTTCGACTTCTCAACACAGCAATTACATGACTTAAACAATGGAACTTTGTAACTGAATAAGAAATTGGATCTGTCTACAGAATTAAAAAGAAAATATTAGCCCCAAAAAGCAACTTAAACAACTTACATTGAAAGAAATGTTTAATAAAGTAAACAAATAAATATTAAGCCCCCCTTTTTTTTTAAATTTTGTTATCCTCTAGATCGTAAATGCTTCATTTTTTCATCAAGTCACGATTTCATAATTTTTATTTTATAATTTCTACAAGCCATCTTACTAGATTTAAACTGATGATCTAATTTGCGGAAAAATCCCAAATCCGGAATCGCCAAAATCCCAGTGAGTCCGGATCTCGGACTTTGTACTGTATTTAGCTGGCAGTACTTTTGAATAACAGGTTATAAGCAACAGAAATTTCTTTCAAATATGGACTTCAGATAGAACATAAATATAAATTTGAATTTTTTTTCTTTTGTTTTATTATCAATGACAACTTTTTTTCTGTTAGCATTTGACTCCCATGCAATTTGAGTTTGAGACCACTGCTTTATGGTATGTTGCTGAATAAATGTTTGACATACAAAAATTCCTCCTGAGAATGTTGTCTGCCAAAGAGATTTTAGAACAGCTCTAGACTCAGTATAATTACTTTTTCAATGTGTGAAAATTGAAAGTGTTTTAAATAGAACACGACTGCTGATATTATTTTCAAGTGCTCTGTTCAGTTTCAATTGGGGGAAAAAGTTGGAAAACTTTGAGGAGACATGTTCTTAAGGAAATCATTGGACCAAGAGCCATTTTTATGTATATGGTTATCTAGATATTTAATGTTAACTGATCTCAAATGATATTTACTATTTTACAGCTAAACATAGGCTGTGTTTTGTAGCTGAGGATTGCAATTAATTTATTGTCTGCTTCTCTTTAACTTATTTACAGGGCTGTGTGCTGCCCTATAAAAGGATGCATGTTATTTTGAAATTTTCAAGAAGTGCAGTCTACCATTTCTGCGAAATCATCCACTCTGTTGCTTATCAATATATTATGAGTATGTTTTGTACTAGTTTAAGATTAGAGGTTATTTAATTTTTCTGAAGAATTATAGCTAATGTTCAATAACTTATTGGAAAATGTATGCCATCTGTAAGTGGCAAGAATTTTGCAGTATGTTTGCTTTTAATGGAATAGAGACACCATGAAATTTTAGTACTCACATCTATTACGGCATTTTCTGCATGATTGATAATTAGTAAACAAATGGCCAAATATTTCTTTCGGAAGTTCATAAGCTATCCCTGAAACTGTATAGTATGGAAAAAAGAAAGAGGGATGGTTCTATTTCTTCTGTTCTACTGGGCCAATTGACAAAATTCAAATTTCATTTTTTATGTCTTGAAAGCCCGACTTAGAATATATATTAGATTTATATTCAGCATTGTTCTAAGATAGGTATTTTGACACACAATTGGAACTTTATCTGAAATGACATGCCAATTTTTTCCCATATTTCAATTCTATGATTCAAATTATGCCTAAATATTAAATTTTGTAAAATTTTATGCGAAATTTATGGAGAAATTCAAAATTTTATCTTGCTCTATTTTTTTTTCAGTTTGCGCCAAGAATAATTCACTTGGCGAACTTCTTAATTTATAGCAACCTATTTATTATTTTAACAAAGTGCACAAACCACATTTTCGTTGTTATCACTTATATTAAACTTGCCAAAATGTAAATTCATGTATATCTTAAGAAGTTTTGAATGAAACTCTAATTTTTTGCAGATATGCTTAGAAATACATCTACTTTCAGATGATGTTAGAAATTTTATATGTTATAATAAAAAAATTGTTTCGAAAAATTTATAAAAAATATTTTAAAATACAAATTTTTGAAATAAATAATAAAAGATATGTGAATTATATTTGGATTAAGCTTAAATTTCGAATTCTAGAAGAAAAAATCAAGTAAATTTACTAAAAAAGAGATATTAATAAATATATATCAAATTCAATTAATATTGAGGAGCTAAAATTTTGAGAGCTAATTTTTAGAAAAGTAATCGTGTGATTTTTAGAAAACTTGGTGGTTTGGCATCATTTGAATCGTAGAATTGAAATATGAAAAAAAAAAAAAAATTGGCATGCCACTTCAGAAAAAGTATTATTTTCTGTCAAAATATCTATATTAGAACAAAGCTGTATATAAATCTAATATATATCTTAAGTCGCACTTTCAAGACATGAAAAACGCAAGTTTAATTTCATCAATAGGCCTAGTAGTTTGTAGAACTGTCTCCCCCCTTTTTTTTGTGCATTGTACATATGGTTCATCATGAAATTTCTTGAGCTGTGAAATTCTTTTGCTCTTGTTCCTAAAAAAATTTACATGTGAAGTACTTTTATTGTGCTACATAATAAAGATAAAGCATATGAATATGAAACTTCATTTATACATTCAGATACAAAAGTTTGTATATTATAATATACTCTTCTCCCTCATATAAATCAGGTCAATAACTTATATGCATCCTGTGCATGTTTAGTTATGAGTATTTAACAATTTTTGCCTTTTCAGCTACTGTGTATTTCAGGTTTTTAAGGCTCAATTTGAGGTTTAAAAACCTAAAATCTCAAGGTTAAGTTTGAGATCATGTATTTCATGTGTATATTTAAACTTTTTTTTTATTGTTAAATTTCATGAAATTATCTTTTGAAAGAATTTTTATTTAGAAATAAAAAATTTAGAAAATTAGAATACTTGTATATGATGATCATTATAAAATTCTGTTGCATATTTTTATGTTTAAAATGTATATTAATTTTCTGGAGTTGAAGCAAATTTTGATATTTAGAGGGAAAAAGAAAATTGTTTTTAAATGTATTGATCAAAATTTGCTGAAACTGTAATTTGGTAGAAGTTGAACAGAAAATTGGTTTTCATAATTTTGTAATAAAGTGCCATTTTTTTAATAGCTTGATCTAACAACCACTGCTGTCATGACTTATATTTTTTACAGTATAGGATTGACTTGTATTGTAGGATTCGATGTATTTACATGTCCCCCCCCCTTTTTTAAGGTGAGAAATATATCATTTTAAAATTGATTTCCATGAAACTTTTAATATTTTTTGTTATGTTGCTGTCAGAAGTAAATCAAATAGCATAGTTTACAAAAAGGCGTTTTATCTTTCTAAATAAAATGACAGTAATAATTTTAATAATTTATCATTCATATTTTAATAAATAATCATTTATACTTCCTTTAAATAATTTAATATTTAGATATTATCTCTTGTTACCTAATTGATGTTTTTTGCATTATAATATGCTTTGAAAGAATTATATTGTCCTCTTCTGGAAATTTTCTCTATCAATTATGTTACTTTAAAAACTAATAGAAATTGGATTTGGTGTGTTCACAAAGCTTATTAGAAACCTAATAAATGCTTTAGAGGATTATCTCATTAAGTATCAATTAGTAAGTACATATTTTATATACTTACATTTCATTCCATCAGAAGTTAAATGGATATGTCAACTGTTTATTATATATTTTTTTTAAAAAATAAATATATGTGCTTTACTGTTCCATAGAATCTATTATAAAAATATTTGTGATCTATATTGATATATAACGTTTTGGCAATTTTTGCTGTTTATTGTGAGTAGACCAGCAGATAATTGCAAAAATACTGAAAATATTAGCTATGAAAAGAATATGGCTGTCTGATGCTTTGAAATAACTGCTTATCCACATTTCAAGTGTTTATATCAGCAACTTTAACATAAGATTTCTGTCTGTAGATTTTTGATTTCTTAGATGGAAATTTTCTTAATGATATTCTTTTACATTCCAAAAATAAAGCTAAGAGCTGAATTTATAGCAATAATAACTGTAAAAAACATAGATCTATTAATGCATGGGAGGAAGGAGTATGGGAGTAGCATAGTGTATATTGGCTTATTGGTCATAAGCATTAAATTTTTTTGTCAAATTTTTAATAGATCTAAAACTGAATTTTGGTAACTTTTCATTTTTATATAGAATAGGGAGTATATTTTTTATATAGTTTACAGAATATAATTTTTCTTAAAAAAAGAGGAATTATAAGCTAGAATTCTTTTAAATATATCTTTTGCAAGACTTTTATTAACTTTAATCTTTATTTAATTTTGGATACTGATCAATTTATTTTTTCTCTTCCTTTAAAATAAGAATTATCTACCGGTCTACTTTTAAAAATCTAATGTTGACCACCAGTGATATTGATATCATTAATAATTTCCACACTGTTTGTATTAACATTCTGTTATTATTATTATCTATTAGCAGTGCAGGTAAAAAATAAAAAGCATTTTGTTTTTTGCTATGTGCAGTAAAAATCTTTTTTAAGGTATTTGAATTTACTATGCATCATCATCTTGAAAATATTTGTCTGAAGGCATTGATGGCAGTGGTTGTGAAATGAGTAATACATTTTTACTGTATGATTTTCTTAAATTTGGAAAATAAAAAATGATTTGAGTTTTGCCATGTTCTGTGATTTTTTATTTTGCCTTTCTTAATTATATGTCATAATATTTATTCCTAATTTTGTAGATACATCGAGATATTTAAGAGTAGTCTTCAAGAAATAAGAGTTGCCATTGGCTTATCTGGTTCTAAAATGCGTCCTTTAATACCTAACCGCCCAGGTCCATATGACCGAACTGATCGTTTTGGTGGTATGATCAACAGGTATGGAATGGGAAGAGGTGGTCGTAATTTTAGAGGTATGTTGTTTTTCAGAATATATGTCAAAAACTATGCATTAATTTTAGTTTTAAATATTCAAGTAGGATTTTTTATTTAATTAAGAGTTACTATAGTAATTTAATTGAAGCTTTTTTTTTATTTAATTTATAGTTATTTACAATGCTAAAAATACAGTTTGCATATACCTTTGATACACTAACTTTTAATTAGGCAAATTTCTTGCCACATGTTAATAATAATAAATGATATGCAAGGTCCTATTGTCATGCAACGCATATCCAATCCAAAGTAGCAAATTTCAATGTTTTCCTCACCTGGCCACAAAATTTGGTAGGATTGTTTTGCTTCTCTTTTTGAGGGTGTGTGAAATGTTTGCACTTATACTCTGATAAACTCGGAATCTGCGAATCTATTTGAATATCTTCAGTGTGTATGGGTTATGAGATGGAAGTGTGATAAAAGGCCATAAAAGGATTTTGCATAAAGCATCTGTAATAATACATAATAATATGTAACATGAAATTTGGATAGTGAAAATTTAATTTGATGTATCACAAATAAGTATTGTCAGATATATTATTTATTATAATCATTTGTAACAGGGCAATTCTTTGACTTATTAGGATAGACTGAAAAAACACCAACCCCCTCGCCCGTCTTTGTATGTCAGAAAAGTTGCCTGTCGGCTTGCTATGCAAAATGGGGGGAGGGGGCATATATCTTCGCTTGCACACAGAGTTTTGAAAAATAGTAAAGTTTTACTATTTTCAATTTTTTATAGTTACTAAACTCCATACTAACAAAATGCAGTCATTCCTAATGTGAATTTTGGAGTTTGTGAAACACAAAAGCAAGATTAAAACCTCTAATTTCAAATTATTTTTTCATTGCACAAAAAGCTAAAAAAAAAGCTCTTTTTTTTTTTCTTCCCCACTTTTTTTGTAAAAATTGTAACATTTTGTAATTATTAGTTCAATGAAAATACCCATTTTGACCACTCTTTCAATCTATTTGATTGATTTTCTTTTTTCACTGACATCTGTATATACAGGCAGAATGAAGAAAGGACTTTTTCTCCCAAAACAGATTGTAAAATGGATTCAGAAGAAATTTTGTTCATGACATTTGTACGTACATTCACTTATGTATCTCGCACTCGAAAACAAGAAGCGATAAAACATTGAAGTTTTGTACATGGAACATCTAATTGTGCACTTCTCTTTTTTATTGCAATTGGCTGCACTAATTATATATATATATGTGATGATATGATAGAGGTTGGTCTGTACCTGGTGAGTCCATTGGCAGCATTGCAAAGCGCAGCCTGACCTAACAAAAAGATTGCATCTAGCAGGATTACTATGGTGTTATCCAGAAAGAGTATTTGGAGAAAGGTAAAACCCTCAACAGTAAGGTGTGCAGCGAGATGCAAGTCTGTGTTGACACTTCTTTTAAGGGAAAATGTTGAACTGAGTTCTGGTGCAAAAAGGTAATGTTCCATCAAGATAATGCAAAACCACATGTATCTGCGTTCACCGGCTGGACTCAGTATGAACTCAAATGGGATCTTTGGCCACACCCATCATATAGCCTTGACATCGCTCCTTCGGGCTGTTACCTTTTTTCACACCTGCAGCTACACCTTGCTGGTGCTATCTCCCATTCTGCACTGGACATCTGAAATGAGGTTGATCTGTTTTTGAACTCGAGGCTATCAAGTTTCTGGGCTTTCAAAAACTACCGAAAAGAGGTTGCAGAAAATCGTAGATTTGGATAGTGATTACTACCTGCACTAAAGGTACTGTTTTCATTTCCCCCCTCCCTCTAATTTTATTAAGAATGTTTTTGGCAGAAAACTTTCGTTACAACTAGATATATCTTTTACCTGGTTCGGTGAGCTCAGTTATTACATTCTTACATGGCGGTAAATTGTGCATTTTTTGCTTTAAAAGTGATTGAATTATGCTGTTTTTATGTTCTGGTTAAGGTTTTTATGCCTATAGTTAATCTGCATGTAGTAGTTGTAAGAATTATCAATAATTTAAAAGCTTAAGTGTCACAGGCCTAACGAGGCCAATATTTGTTTACATCTGAAACTCTTAGTAGGAAAGTGAATTATGTCAGTTGGTGCACCAACTGCAGTGTCATTTTGCCCAGTGGGACCAAAAGCTAACTTTAAGTTTTGTACACCAAAATTTTATCTTCCTGCCCACTGGCCAAATTGCTTGTTTGGTGGAGTAACTCTTTTTAACTGTATTTGCTGTTAGGTTTTTTTGTATTTTATAATTTTAATGGAGATGTTTTAAGTTTTTATGTATTTTTTGCCTTGTGGCAAATTGAGAACTGAGTGGATTGAATGAAAAACATATTTCTAATTAAATGCATGGAAATAACTAAATCAAAGGCAGCAAAAAATGCATGTAATTTAATAAGTCGTACTAGGAAGTCTAGGTGTCCACATGAGGTATTTGTTTTTAATTAAGAAATGTTGAATATATTTATCATTTAAAATTTTGTTATTCAAGAGAGTTCACTTTAAAGTTAATTGTTTGAGGAAAATTTCAAGCCATCTCTTGCATCAGCACCATATACCTTTTTAGATGCATTGGTCACAAGTTTCACATGTTGTTCTGTGGCCTAGGTGTACCAAGAGAAGGCTTGGAAATCTGGTTGCAGTGATGTGGCAGTATTTAATAGATTTTTTGATGTCCTCATCCATAATGTTCCTTAACAGCAGAGAATATATGATGTTCCTCAATAGGGTCAGTCTTTAAGATTTTTAATTTCCTCATTCATAATGTTCCTTAATAGAGGTATTGCAACTATCCCATCAAATCACGTTGATGCAATCTGTTGCATTGAAGTTGAGTTTTACCATAATGAAGTTTTGAATAATCTTTGTCTTGAAAAGTGATCAAGCTTTCAACAATTGGCACAGCCCTAGTTCTCTGATTTTCTTTCATATGCAGTCATTGCAAGGACCAAATTTTCGGAATGACTGAGGGCTTTAAAAACTATCTTCGTAATGTCTGTGAAATTTTTGCTGGTTTTGATTTTAAACCAGAGAAAAGAATAATTCAAAATAAAATATATCAACTGTCTAATTTTATAAGTAGGCTTTTGTAAGCTCACGTATGGTCTGAGAATTCGACTTAGTTTTGTCAACCATCTTGGTTGGTGTTGCTAAATCTATTAAAATTGTTCCTCACTTTATGGCAGCAGAAATATCATGTTAAATATAATTAATCCTTGCTCAGCATTTTTCTATCAGATTGAGAAATGGAGCATTCAGCACGTTCAAAGCTAACCAGTAAATGGAAGTTTTTTACAGCCAGTGAATTTTTTTCCCCATTTATCCACTGAAGGATTTGGGCCCTGCAATTACACCATCTAAGTGATGAAATAGGTATGTAACTGTAGTTCATTGAAGTGTAGAAGACGGTAGAGCCTACTGCGGTGATCTTCCAACGTGGGTTGGAATTCAGGCGAACAAGCTGTCTGCAAGAAAATTTTTGGGGTTTTCATCATGTATGCACATGAGCTAGTTCCCCTTAAAAAGTCCTCTACAAAGGCATCCCTCCCATTGGCAGATAGTCCTAGCGTGATTTGCCATAATAAACTAAACCAAACCTCCGGTTTAAAAAATAAAGTCAAACAGTATTGTTCGACTCCATTTTTTAAACCGGCAGGACTATTTTTGGTCTGTCCAAAAACTTGCGAAGCACTTCCTGCTGGTTCTGCATCCTTGGTAATTATCATCACTGTTTAAGGTTTGTAACAAAAATTATGAAATATTGCTCTTTTTATAAAAAATTCTGTTTGAGCTTTTTGCATGAGCAATAACTAATTTAAAAATTGCAAGTTTTATTTTTATCACTTTTATACTGTATGTGTGTGTTTCTCATGTTCCAATCCTTACATTAAGACTTATAGCACTGTGATAACAGCAAGTTTGACAGCTACCAAAAAACATCAAAATTTCACCATTTTTTGAAATTAATTACGGCAAAGCCTCGAGGGCTATCTACCTAAAGTGAGGGTTGCCTTTGTGGAGGACATTCTAAGGAAAACTAGCTCGTATACACGTAACACATGGGGAAAACCATGAAAACGTCCATGCAACCAGCCCGTTCGCGAGATTCCAACCTTGGACCGAACTTTTAGTGTTCAGCGATTTTACCGACCGCTGGTGGGATCGATTTAAAAAGGGTATAAATATATATATACTGCATCTGTTAATATATTTATACAGTTATATATATATATTTAAACAAATTTAAATTCTAAACAAATGCATAGAAAAGTAAAAAAGTAGAAAAGCAAATTTAAATTCTAAAAAAAGGAAAAAAGCCAAAATAATTTAAAATAATTTAAAAAATATGCAAACATGTAAAAGATTTAATTCTCGAACTAATCTACAATATCATTTAAATTCAGAAGCATAAGCAAATCAAGTGCAAAATCTATCCATGAAAATAAATCTACTAATTTAATAAATTAAAATTAAATTAAACAATTTTTTTAAAAATGCATATGTGAATGACCGTAGAGTAGGCAGGAGACAGATCTTTATCAAGGGAAGTTGCCTCTAAACCTAACTCTTCCAATTCATTCAATTTGTGTTTCGTCATCCATATCATGCATGGGTAAAGGTAAATAGTCAAAACCAAAAGTAATTCCAATAAAGTGGTATCCTTAGAAATTTACATTCAAGTATTAACATTTAAGAATTAAAGTTCAAAAAGGAAAATACTAATGAAGCTCTTTTGAGAAACAAGCAAGTAAAGTCAAGAATTAAACTTTTTCTTAAAAAATTAAATTTTTTAAAATTTTTTTATAAAATAATAAAAAAATCTAGAAACCAATGTATTTTAGAAATCCTTGTCTACAGAAACTTCCCCTACACGAATATGCATATGAATAAAAAGAAACTATAAAGAACTATATATAATCCATATAAACCAATAAGAAATAAGAAACAAAAGAACTAATTCACAATTTTTAAAATAAATATATA